GAGCCCGCCGCCGCCGTAGCCGCTCCCGCCGCCCGCCGTCGCTGCTCCCACCGCGGCCGTCGTCGGCGGCGGCGGATCCGTCGTCCCCGCCGCCCAGCGTCGTCGCCGGCGGCGGATCCATCGCCCCCGCCACCCATCATCGTCACCGGTGCCGGATCCGTCGGCGGCGGCATCGGATCCGTCGCCCCCGCCGCGGCCGTCGTCGTTGTCGGCCGCCGAGCCGCCGCCGCCGCCGTAGCCGCTCCCGCCGCCCGCCGTCGCCGCTCCCACTGCGGCCGTCGTCGTTGTCGGCCGCCGAGCCGAGGAAGCCGAGCCGCCGCCGCCCGCCGCCCGCTGCTCGACGCCGCCTACCGCCCGCTGCTCGGCGCCCCCTCGTTGGCCACGCGCAAATGAGAGAAAGAGAGAGAGGAAGAGAAAGAGAGTGAGAGAGGAAGAGAAAGAAAAAGAGAGGGGTGAGGATATCAGAGAGAGGAAAGAGAGAGAGAGAGGAGAGGAGAGGAGGGGAGATGAAAATTTTTGAAGTGGTGAGGAGGGAAAAAACTGAAAAAACTGTTGATATTTTTGCATGTGGACCACTTAAGGAGCCGCAAGCAAAAATCTATTTTTGCATGCGGCTCCTTAAGTGGTCCGCAGGTAAAAATAATCATTAAAAAATTAATTAAAAATGTGAGAACTTCGAATCAAATTTTATGGTCTTAAATAAACTCATATGAAAAAGTTGCCAAAAATAAAGTTGTAGAAGTCGTTGAGATCTACCAATTTTCTTTTGGTCATTTCTCCATCCGAGTTTGATTGAACTATATAAAATTTGAATTTTAAAATATAAGAAATTCAAATAGTTTTTTAGGTAGTAAATGATTTCAAATGGAAAAGTTATCAAAATCAAAGTTGTATAACTTATCAAGATCTACAACTTTTGTATTGGTCATTTTTCTATATGACTTTGTTTGAACAGTCTGAATTTGAATTTCAAATTATAACAACTTCAAACAACATTTTCAGATACTAAATGATTTCAACTGAAAAAATCGTCAATAAAAAATTGGTGTAACTCATTAATATCTATAACTTTTTATTTTGGTCATTTATTCATCCGACAAAGTGATTTGTAAGATTATTCACAGAATGTACATATCTATTATATAGTTTTATAAACTATAAGAGAGAGATGTAAATTTTGTGAAAATGTTAGTATCACTTTATCAAATAAAGAAATGACCAAAATAGAAATTATAGATCTTGATGAGTTATACAACTTTGTTGTTGTTGACTTTTTCAGCTGAAATCGTTTATTGCTTCATAATATTATTGAAGATTTGAAATTTAAATTTTAAATTGATAAAACAAAGTCACAAGAAAAAATGGCCTAAATAATAACAGTAAGAACACAATAACATGATAGAGCATGATTTTAGAAACATTTAGGAAAAAGAATCATCCAATTTGGAGTTCGTATGAGTGAGATACACTAGTTTCAATTTTATTTTCGCATGCGGGCGCTTAAGTGAGCCGCATGGAAAAATCGATTTTTCCATGCGGGCGCTTAAGTGAGCCGCATGCAAAAATGACATCATTTTTGCATGCGGACCTCTTAAGAGACCCGTATGGGAAAATCGATTTTTCCATACGGGCTTCTTAAGGAGCCGTTTGCGAAAATGCCACGTGATTTTTGCAGGCGCCACTAGTTATGGTCCGTTTGTAAAAATTATGGGGTCTCGTACAGAAAAATCACTTTTGTAGTAGTGGATAGTCCATTCCTTTCTTCCAACGTTGAACTCTCCGTATAAATGGAATATCATGGGCAACAGCAGGTAGTACGTAGACGGTTGCCTTTTAAGTGACCGCTCGTAATAACACTTAGTACATACGCGGTTGCCTGAGACATCACCTAGAAAATATATATATTCACACGGGTGGCACTGTGTAGAGATCATTCATGTATAATCTATTTTTTCTAGATGGCGCACTCGTAATTATCCACTTGTATTGTTGTTCTTTTCGTCTTTCTCACGGCATTACTTCAAGTGTCCAATTACAAATCCACTATTATCGGTTTTCGCATGGATTCCGGTCATTTCCTCTTCCATAATTTCTCAATTGCTCCGTCAAAGGGAGTTTGCCAATCTGATCCCATGATCTCTCCATTTCCTGATAAACTTCTCCTTTTTTGGCCCCTATGATTAAGATGGTTAGCAGGTTAATTCCCTCCAATAAGCTCAAATGGAGTACTAGTCAAACCCCATTCTTCTGAAGCCATGCAAGAAATGAATCTTGTACCACCACACTGAAACTACTGGTCACTTCCAGCAGCAAATCATGCAGCCACTACCACCACAAAAACAAATGAAACATCACATGCAAGCACCTTGTTGGAACTCCAGCTCAGCTGTGGGGCATGATGCTGCACTGAAAAATCCTTTCTGATGTTGCACTGAAATCTTACTATGTCTTTTTCTTTTTTTTTTTTACAGTGGTGCTGCCCAGGTGAGTGGCCACTGGCCACCATTCTTTCCCTCCATCCAGCCACCTTTGCACCGTGACGTCACCATCTTATCTTCTCCCTGTTCTTAACACCCACATGCTCACCTCATCTCCTTTCCAACATCTTGTGTTTGATACTACTACTAAAATGCTTGCTCATGTAGTTAGCCTATAACACTTGGATTTTTCAGATGTAGTAGGATTCAGACAGCATTAACCAGTGGAGTACTACTCCCTCCGGTTCGTTATTAGTTGGTGTTAGAGACTAGACTGTTTGGATGGAGAAAAAAAAAGATGTTTTAGCTTTGGTGTGTTACGTTTGGACTAATTTACCCCTTCGTGTATGCAAAACACATTAAGCTAGCCACACGGATATAATTATTATGGGTATAATAGGAAATAGTCACTCTAATTAATTACTCATTAGTATCCAAACTCTTGTCTAAAGCGTTAAATTAATAAGGAACCTGAGGGAGGAGTAAACATTCCATTCATTTTTAAATAATTGATGACCACAACTATCTTATTTTAACCATAAATTATATGTAAATAATTATATTATAATGAATGAAAGTTATAGGTTACATTTACGATGCTTCGCATTCCAATAAGATGACATATTTTCAACTATTTATAAATCTTCTGTAATAAAGGCAAGCGGTCAAAGCTTAAACTAAATACGTAGCATCAATGTCAATTACTCCCTCCATTCCAAAACAAATTTATTTTTCACACATCCCACACATACCAATAAAAAAAATTTAAAAAACAGAATACCCTCACCTTTTTCAAATCTCAATGCAATCATTACTTATTTTATCTATTCCCAATATATTTATTTCATACTTTTATAAACTCCGATGCAATGATTAGCCAAAAATAAATTTATTTAGAACAAACGGAAGAAATAAAAAGTGAACTTTTATTGTCTTATTGTTACTAGAACAGAGGGGTTAACTTCAGGTGTTCCCCCCCTCCTGCAAAAGTTTGAGTGCTCTTTCTGCAGCAGTGTTAGGAGTACCAGTTAACCAGTAAACTTAACTCAGGTGCTCACTCCCTTGCAAAAATGTGAGTGCCTTTCTATCATGCTGCTGCTTCTGTCCCTTCACTCCGATGTCCTCTCAAAGTGCTAATTTCCATGTGTCTTTTGCTCCTTTTGGATGACAGAAAGTTTGGTGCCCCCTTTATATTTTAACTTCAGTTTTGGTGAGCCGTGAATGCATCCTTGTCATGCAATGTTTGTCCATGATGGAGTAGGATACTCCTAGCTTCATTGGCGAAGAGACCAAGAAACCAGGATACTAGCGAATACGATTCCTTCAATGCAAGCCAAGCCAAGAAAATTCTGGCCTTTTTTTCTCTGAATTTTTGCCTGCTTGAGTGACGCCTCTCTGGCATTCTGCCATACTCCATGTATATGCAGTGGTAGCAGTTCTGCATCTCCTGCAGAGAACTTCTGTGCCTGTCTCGTTTCTGCAGGGGTTTGCTGCTAAACTAAACTGTGGTTAACAGCAAATGTTGTTACCTCTGTCTCAAAATAAGTACAGCCATGGGATATTCGTGCTCAACGTTTGACCGTTCGTCTTATTTATAAAAATTATGAAAAATTTAAAAATATTTAGTCACACATAAAATACTATTCATGTTTTATCATCTAATAACAATAAAAATACTAATCATAAAAATTTTTCAAATAAGACGAACGGTCAAACGTTTAACGTGAATAGTACAAAACTGCACTTATTTTAGGACGAGGGAGTATTATCAAAAAAAAAAAAAAACAACAGATGTTGCCTGTCGGCCTGTTGCTAGGTCAGGTATCAGGTGAACCCCCAATTGTCAGAGGTGGAAAGGACAGAACACAGCTTCTGATTAAAAAAAAACATCCTGGCAAATGTGTTCCAAGAAATTGATACAGGAAATCAAACTGGAGAAAGGAACACTATACTGCCTCCGTCCCAAAATAAGTGCAGCCGTAGATATCCGTGTTCAACGTTTGACCGTCCGTCTTATTTGAAAAATTTGTGAAAAATTTAAAAATATTTAGTCACACATAAAGTATTATTCATGTTTTATCATCTAATAGCAATAAAAATACTGATCATAAAAAATTTTCAAATAAGACGAACGGTCAAACGTTAAACGTAAATAGTGCAAAACTGTAATTACGTAATAAGTTTAATCAACGGGTAAATGGACAAGACGCATTGGATTTTACGGCAACAATATTCAGAATATCAGACCATCAGCAGCTAAGAATCTCTGTCGCACCAAGGATTGCTGTCTGCTATATCTTCGGCTAGCATGTCTGTTGCCACGTTGGAGACAACAGCTCTGTTCCTCATTGGAATATTCACCGGTCACGGTTCATTTGAAACGCGAAAATCTAAACAATTTTTATAGGAAACAGTATAATTCCTAAAATCCTCCTTTGCATTAGACATTAGACCTATTTCAGTGATGTCAAATCCATTAAAAAGAATTTTCCATGATGCAATTGCAAACACAAGACTCCAAGATAGTTTAACCATCCGATGATCATAGACAGCAATTTCTGAAACATGTGGCGACTGGTACATAGATGAAAGCTGTTAATATCATGATTCACTCCAGAAGTTTTTTTACAAACGCGCAAACCGGACAAGGACCTTTCTTGCGTACATGACATTAACATATAGCAACCCATCAGATAATTGAAGTTAAGTGGGAACTGGAATGGAAAGAATACTAGTGGAAAATGACGCAGAAGAGCATCTCCACACAAGCTAAAATCAGATCGGGCAAACCTAACGAGCAATAGGTACAGCATCAGGCAGGGAGCTCCAGAGAAATAGTGGCAGAAGAGTATGAACAACGGGTGCACCAAAAGCCTAGAAGAACTTGTTGAACTGGCCGCTCAGGGTGTCCTTCAGGTTCGAGTACAGCCCGTAGAGGGAGTATTGCCGCAGGTTAGACACCTCATACCACGAGTTCAGAACTGATTCGTGTTTATCGGTGCCTGAGAAAGCCAGCTGGATGCCGATACTGCAGTCAACAGGTCCCTGGCTCTTGCAGCTCTGTGTTCTGAAGGCACAGGTTTGCTTGCCGATGCAAACAAGGCTTGAAGATTTCGCGCAAGCACCACAGCCATCCTTCTTCCAATGCAAGTTTTGAAGCCTGCCTTTATTGAACTCAAGAACCTAGACAAGTATCATCAGATGGAGACAACATTAAGAATATTCTTTGTGTCACAAGTTGATAGGTGATGGGCATAGTGGTACATCTTTGGTTCCATACCAGGGTGAAGCTGGAGACTGTATATGAGGAATTGGACACAAAGGTTGGAACAGACCGGGCTGCATACTTCCTACCGGCAAATGCTACCATGTACCCACCAGCTGTGGCCTAGGAAATATACACAGAAGAATTTTGGTTATATACTGATCCATCATTTGATGCATTATATATAAAAGGACTGAACAAAAAAGTATTAGATCCATCAATGATCTTATTAGATGCATAATATGCAGAAAACAAAAAAGGCTGAACACTAAACCTAATCAGTGTCCAGTAAGAGCCAGTGAGCTGTGACATGATAAAATTGACGATGCTGAGTGATCACACAACTTAGCTAATGAAAAACAAAGCTGAAGGAACTGGTTCCTCACAATATTACTATCTTATCAAATGTTGGAACAATTTGTAAAGAAGAAGCATTTTCTGTTCTCTCTAGAGCATTCTAAGCAATAGTAGCAAATATCAACATTTGTATGATGAACACATTATAAGCTACTAAATTGACATATATGAGGGTGAAGACCAAGATCAACAAAGTAAATAAGATCAAGAGCTACAGGTAACATTTTGAGGTTAACAGTAGGCCATGTTATCAACAATCAGAGTGTAGAGTTCACCTGTTTTTAAAGAAAAAATATAATGAAAAAATGACGCAATCAAGAAAAGCTAATGCTGAACATTATTGGTGGCTACAGTCAAACTACTAGGCAGCGTGCATCATGGAGCCCAAGTCAGCAAAATAAATCCTTGTGATAAACTCAAGATAGAAACGTGCATAATCAATTGAGATACAATGATATTTAAACAATTTAGCCAATGCATAACCTTTAACAATCTACTTTATTTGACCAACCTTTTGAAAAAATAAATAAATAATAGCCGGTACGAATTGCTTTGGAGTTTAAGGGCCTGTTTGGCACAGCTCCAGCTCCTGGAGCTAGAGCTCAGCCAAACAGTTTCAGCTCCACCAAAACTGGGAGTGGAGTTGGGTGGAGCTCTCTCACAAAATGTACTAGAGTTGTGGAGCTGGGTTTAGGCAGCTCCACAACTCCACTCCAGACTCAACTCCTGGAGTTATATATAGGAGTTGGAGCTGTACCAAACAGGCCCTAAAGCTTATCTGGTCTCACAATTGGAGAAGCCTTTATTTGACATAAACTACAGACATAAGCAGATCAAAAGTGGAAATGACATTTCTTAATGCGGGACATGCTGGGATTAAATTCTCAAGCCTAGGTTCTTGCTCTAGCATTGCATGCTTGGGTACAAAATGCAAATGGTTTTCTAAACAGATCTGGATTCACCATTGGCGTATCATAGCATGATAACAGTAGTCCATAGGATGAAAACTGAATGGATTTCATGAGAAAAATAAGAGTTTTTAGTTGTCATAGGATTTTTTTCTCAAAGCAGCATGTCAGAAAAAAACTTTCAAAAAAAAGAAGATAAAACAATAGTACAAAGTACTTCACATACATGATGCTATGTCAGTATGTCCTTGATGACTTTGGGTAGTGGCCACTATTAAGTTAGAAGTAGGTATACCTTGGAAATTGATGCAATATGCATAGCAGTCAAATTTCAAGGTTTAGCAGTCCTTGAAACGCTATAAACTATAAATGCATTTATATTAAACCAAAGAAAAATATTCCTTTATGTGACTACAAATTAGCAAGATTGGGACACAACAAGTCTAGAACAGATATTGTTAGTGTTGCATTTAATGGAATTGTAGACTATAGTCACTAACTTACAGGTGATAAGAAAACTAGAAGGCTTCCTTCACCACAATATAATATGACAAAATCACCAAAGTATTCATATGTTGCATACTTGCATAACCTGTGAGCATTATTCAAGGTCCATCAAAGAGACCAAATGTATCAAGGCATTTAACCACAAACCATGATTACACCTATCTAAACAGAAGTCAATTAACTCAGTGAAAATGGAATTCATTTGGAAGAAGAAAATAACATCATCTAACACTTGCTATTATCATCAATTTAATTTAACACATTCACTGTCTCTATCTGCACTATTGCCTACAATCACAAACACAAAGTACATCAGTATCCTTCACGCTACATTTTGGGTAGAAATGCAAAATAGTGTACTCAAGCAAGAGATGGGTGGAATACTATAACATTTGAGGTTAATCCTACCAGTACCCACAGAAAAGAGCTTCTATGTCACTATGTAGACTATTCGCACGTAAAAACCCAGGCCCGATGCCCTCCACAGGAATGTCAGGGTGAAGAAAAGGACCCACATGACAATAGGTCACACTAAAATGAGAGTTCTTGCAAGAGATCACTTAAAGCAACAACCCAGCACTAAGGCAACAGGATCAGCAATCCCAGCTAGTCTCCAGCTCATCTACTACATTGCCATGAACTCGTACGGAGCGAAATTCCTTCATCATAGTTGCGTGTCACAAGCATACTGATCGAGCAACGAGTTTACTCCAAGCTCTACCCAGATCAAGAAGTGCTACATTAGCCTCCAGAATCCTACCAGTCCAAGCTTCCTGCAGCTCAGATCAAACCAAGAAACACAGAAGCTGACCAGCAGATCACGCCTAACCGACCGCCACCTAGTGCGGCATTTCCACGAGCAGGTACGGCGCAAGCTCCACCGGATCCACCCACCCAACCAAAGTAAACCAACCCCCATGAGACGCGTGCAGGGAAGAAGGGGAAGGTGGGGGGGATGGGCTTACGGGGTTGAAGCCGGTGGTGGTGTTGATGGTGAGGAGGGAGATCTCGTCGACCTTGGGGCGGAAGACGGCGAGCTGGCCGGAGGAGGCGAGGCTGAGGCGGCGGTCGCAGGGGGAGAGCTGCACGGATCCGCCGGAGTAGAAGGCGCCGAGGGTGGCGAAGGCGATCCCGAAGCTGAACCCGTCCCCGCGCTGGATCCGCGTGTCGCTGCAGGGGTCGTACACCCCGTTCTCGTCCCTCGCCGCCGCCACCGACGCGAGCGCCGCGAGCGCGACGGCGGCCAGCAGCAGCGAATGCGGCGGCGCGGAGGCGGAGGCGGCCATGGCGGCGCGATCCGTGGCGAGGCGAGGCAAGAGGAGGTTGGCTGTAGTAGGAGAAGTGGTTGAGTTGAGGGAGGCGAGCTCGTGGGTGACAGCGATGGAGGTGGAGGCGAGAGGTGAAGGGGAAAGGAGGTGGGTTGGTGGGCCGGTTAGTTTAGCGGGCTGAAATTATTGAGGGCTGGTCCTGTTGGGCTGTGGGTAAGATGGGCCGTCGTGGTCGTTAGTGGGTTGGGCTGAGCTTCTTGACGCTGTTGGGCGTTAAACTAAGTGGGTTGACTTTTCTGTGACATGAACCTGGGTCGGTCTGACTGAACCTTTGGGGCCGCTCGTTCTGTGGGCTAAATTTCTCGACAACATTGGAAGTAGGAAAAAGTATACCGAAGGTCCCTCAACTTGTCATCGAGTTACAAAATCGTCCCCAACCACAAAACCAGATATATGATATCCCTCAACTTACACAAACCATTCACTTTAGGTCCTTCGGTGATTTTGACCCCGATTTTGCACTACATGATGGCTGAGTCAGCGTGGGACACACGTGGACCCCACATGTCAAGATGCCACGTCAGCACCCTCCCTATTCCCCCTCCTCCTCTATCTCATTCTTCTCTTCTCTAGGCAAGCCGACCGGCGCTGCTGGGGAGGAGGCCGCCGGGGTGAGGCGGGAGAGGAAGCAGCAATGACGGCTGCAACACGGGAGAAGGCGAGGACGGTGGCTGGCCGGCGCTGCTAGGGAGGAGGCCGTCGGGGTGAGGCGGGAGAAGAGGCGGCGACGTCGGCTGCGACACAGGAGAAGGCGAGGACGGTGGCTGGTCGCGAATGGCGTGGACGGCACTGTGTCGCCGCCGCCGGTGATGCAGCCCCACACGGGCAGGCGCCGCAGCATTGGGCGACGAGGAGAACGGCGGAGCAGGCGAGCGACGACGGAGTAGGGTGATGACGCGCAGGCGGGCGAAGCAAAGCGACAGATACCCACCCACTTATTCAGTTTTACTTAAAAAAACCACCTCATTGCACACGTGCTTAACCGAATCAATTCGTTATCACTGAGCTAGAGTCACCACATGCTAAGTTAGCCAAGCCAATCTTATCCAAATGCGTGCATTAGACTTATTTTTCATATTTGATTGAACTTTTTTTTTTCATACAGCAAAACTCAATATGGCAACATTTAAACTCTCAACATAATTCTATTTGTGAAATCTTAAAAAAAAATTGTCAAAACTACACTTTGCAATATTTAATTTTAGTAAAGAACACCTTACGGCTCACACTTTATGAAAATATATTAATTCGGTTAAACATGTATGCACAAACGTTGGTTTTTGCAATAAAACTGAGTAAGTGGATAGGTATTTACAATAAAATGATTTATAGGGTAGAATGTCAAACTTAAAGTGACTTATAGATGTGGTTTTTATATTTTTCTCAAAAATCAATCCTTAAGTGGTTTATCCTACATGGCACCTATGTGTGTCCCACACATGTCTGTAACATCCCTCATCTACGTGGCACCTAAATTTCTCAACAATTTGGACTTTTCGGCGCTGTTAAATTCGTTGTTAGTTCAGTGGGCTAATTGCTGCTTCATCACTTCAGTTTTTTCAGTCGCAGATTAAGAGTTGATCACCTTTTCAATCCGACGAAGAACATTCAACAAAAAAAAAATGCCATCACAGATTTCTAGCAAGGCAGCAACTTGTTTATACTCGCTCCGTTTCATATTTTAAGTCGTCCGACTTATTTCTTAGTCAATGAGTAACTTTATATAAAAATATAGTACTATTTTTAGCATATTATTAAAATATATTTAATATTAAATTAAATGAAACTAATTTGATATTTTAGATGTTGCTAAATTCTTTTATAAACTTAATTAAACTTAACAAAATTTGACTAGGAAAAAACTCAAACGACTTATAATATAAAAATTATAAACGGAGGGAGTACAGCATAAATACAACATCATGCCATATTTGATATTTCCATGCTTTCAGTCACTCTCGTCCATGGACGCCAAACAGGTAACACGGTTGACTGCTACCAAGCTGTACATTAGTGCTACTGCTAGCCATAACTGTTTTAAGATCCACCATTCTGAAAAATAATCATGACAAAAGAGGAACAATTAACCAGATGTCAGTTGCAAACACCCAGAGAAAACCTGGCGACAGAGAGGAGACAGACAGACAGACACAAGCCATCTACTATGGTTTTAGGCATATCTAAATACAGGCAGAAGTTCCAAAGAATGAAATAGGTCTCCTTTTCTTTTTGCAACCAAAAACTTGCTGAGGTGCTAAAACAAACCAATGTTCATCCCAAACTCTTCTTGCTTATACTTTCCAAGACCACGACAGCAATCCCCTCTAATGTACCATCTTCTATTATATACTAAAAGTCGTCCATGAAACTTCCTACAAACGCTCTCAAACCGCCACGTGGCGCTCTAATAAAATAGAGAAAATCCTAGAAATTCTAAAAAAAAAATCAAAACATCTATCCCTTGATTTTCATTTAAATTGGTGGGTCCAATATTATACACCGTTAGATAAAATTGATCTTAAAACAAACTAAATACCATGGGTCCCACCTATCCTCCCCTCCCACACATTGGCAGGTGGAGTATATACGTACTTACACGTACGCTTCCACCCCCCCCCCCCTCTTTCCTTTTTTCTTCTTTTTTCCATTTATATATATAATGGATATATTTTTTAAATAATCATAATTTTACAAACAAAAAATCTACCATCATATAACTTAAGCCGATGTACTCATTACTTTACTATTATTTTCAAATAATGCACTATTTTAAAATAAGTTTTACACAATTATATCGTGTACCTATCAAATAAACAATATCTATATTAACTAATTTATACGGGCACTCCATTATATAAATCATCAGATCTACTTTTTATTACATTGGTCTATTATTCTCATGTAATGCACTGTTTCAAAATAAAGCCTACACCATTATATTGTGTACCCATTAAATTAACAATTTAAAAAGTACACGATGTAATCATCGGATCTATTATTTGCTAATAAATAAAGCGTCAAAAATTCTCTTTTTGCCCGTTGCATAATGCACGTCTGCACTTTTACCTTTCGCACGTGTGACAAAGCATAGTGTCTGAGACATTTAAGGTGATCACAACCGCTATAGCACTACCGCTTTGCCACATATCAAATCATATATGGAGATGATTAATTTTGTTAATAACATGAAAAGAAAATTAAAGGTGTGATGCAGCGAGAGAATAATTAAGCACCATGTGTTGTGTTTTTCTCAACACTAATTAGCTCTGTTTAAGTTGAAACCGAGAGTTGATTACATAACAATTATAATGTATTTGTGTTATGTCGTATTTAGATTTTGTACTATTTGTTCGTACATGTGAAAGGAATCATTATGTTATAAATGTGAGCGCAATATTAACGAATATCAATAGAACTCTTACTACGACAAGGGTGATAAAGGGAGTTTAAGGCCCTCTCTTTTTTTTCCGATTCCATATTTTGGATTTTTGTTTGCACTCTTTCCAAGTTTCTAAATGGTGTCTTCTTTACACAACATTCTAACTTTTTAGAAGTCAATTCATTCATTTATACCCTCAAATAGCTATCACATAAATTATATAATTCATCAATTTCAACTGTCCTAAACCTTAAGTACTACATATTTTTTTCATGCGAGCCATGGTGATCAGTAAATTGGTGATCAACGGATCATCAAAGTCGTAAGATGAATATATAAGAGTTACTCTGAACAATTGTAAATAGGTGTCAAAATTAATTGCTATTAATTAGACATCTAATGGCTTGCTAGCCACAAAATTAATTTCTCTCTACATGTATATAAACATGGATGAAGCTAGAACAAATATTACCATATGTCCCATACATATATATTGCGTAGTTAATATTCTAATTAGTCATTTAAAATTCCTTAAAATACTCTTAAGCTGCCACGTGGTGCTATAATAAATTAGGGCAAATATTAGAAATTCTCATGAAAAATATCAAAGTATCTATTATAAACCGTTAGATTAAACTGATCTTAAAACAAACTAAATACTAGACCTCGACAAAGGTACGCACCTACGTGCGCGGCTACGTACGCCTCCCCTCCATTTTTTCATTTTTCTCTTTCTTCTTTTTTTTCCCATGCATATGCTTCCCTCCCTTTATTACTATATCATACGCCTTCATGAGACGATTTAATCAAAAGAATTTTGAGTATCTTGCACTCGCATTTTTAATTTGCGGCCATACTACACGGTATGTATATACATGGACTTATGATAATTAACTATCAATAGTTTATAATTTACTCGAGAAAAAAAACATGATTCAAAAATCGTAAGTACTTAATCCATCTCCTACTCAAAAGTTTGTGAATGGTTTTCTAAGATACCTTAAAAAAAATAGACCCCTTAAATTATTATAAAATAACATTATCCAAACTTTAGTTTGCCCTAAATCTATGAGACAAAATTTCTGAACATACAATAATCTTATCTTTCAATAATATAAGTGCCCGCGCGTGCGCATACGCGCGGGCCACCTTCCTAGTTACAATTAACGCCCATATTTTAACCTTATGATCTACCCCAAAAGCCATACCAATCGCTATGTACAGTTTAGGAGCAGCATAGATTCAGGACAGAAATATCACAATGCCTATTAGCAGAGGGGGCAGCGGGTAGGGTATATGGAAGTTCGGCCAATAGATTTAGGAAACCATATTCTCCCAAGTCCCAACCCAACAGTGGGTATATTAGGGTTTAAGCCTACATCTTTGAACCCAAAAAATGGGCATATTATGATCTTTGAACCCTGTTAATGCAGATCTACTTTTTTTTTCTTCACAAAATAATTCATAAAAAAACATCCTACAGAAATCAATAGGCCCTTTTATTATTACTATTATTATTATTATTATTATTATCACTTCAAAGTGCAAGACCGACTAAGAAACAAACTGTCATTATCATGGCAAGCAGAACATAAGAAGTGTAATAACAATAGCCGTGGCATGTATGGAACAAAAATAATAAACCATCACTGCATGTATTTACAGTGCCACCATGTAATACATAGGACGATCATGCTAACTAACACCCTACTATTACTTTCCAACAGATTGTCACATTCATACAGGATACTCACGTAGGGACAATTTGTAGTCATACCATCCTCACCTCCCAGCAGCGCATTCAATTGCTGGAAAATCTCTGAATAACAAAACAGAGGGGATATGTTGTTCCTCACGTAGTAGTTCAAGGGCATAGATGGACACTCTGTGCTTGTTCATCACATCACAACCCTGCAACAAAAATCAGAATGAGCATCAAAATTAAAATTTGTTTGTTTTTGTAGCAGAAGAAAAGCATGTTTTGGATAGAAACAGGTTTTCTTAATATTAAAATATTTTCAAAATGTTTCAAACCAAATTACATGAGTGGTATGAATGTCACCAGAACCAAGAAAATGACAGTAATGACTTGTATAGTAATTTGTGTAATGTACATCTGACCTGGTTGAGAAAATGGCACAAGAACATATGTTCAGCAACAGCAAAAGACCCACCGGCCTCTACCAATTAGCAAATACTTCTAAACAATCTAACAAACAGAAACTTACAGTTGCAGATACACGAACAATCCAATGTAGTAAGCATTCCATTTGATGACACAACAACACTCTTGATGTAGCATGCCACTTTATTGCGTAAGTGTTAAGCATACAAATTACAGAACAACCTAAAATTCCCGCATTTCATACTATGTACACTCCATTCAGTGACATTGTCTCCAACACAACACCTAAAAGAAGATTAGATCTTTTTGACACCACCTTAGCAACAGTACATATCCATACCTCATTCACCTCAGTGTACAAATTCCGACACCCTGAAATGTGGTGTTGTTGCTGGATTAGTCACGTAGGATGACAGAGTCTGCAATCTCCATCAGTGGCTCAAGGCACTCGGGAGCAAACTTGCGGGCGAACATGTACGAGTATGTCCCATTTGATTTCCTCAGCTCCTTGATCAGGCTTGCAGACACCTCCCCAGGCCGGTATGTGTGAGGGTGGCCCTCGACTTGATCCGTCCAGTTCACCCTTGTCAGAGTATACCCGGTGCAGCCTTCGGGGTCTTGCATATCCAGCAATGTCGGGAAGTAGTGCTCCTCTGGATAGCACGAGTCTCTGCGCTTGATCAGGCAAGGAAGCTTAAACTTCCTCCATAGCTTCATGTCCCTGACGACCATGATGGCATGCTTCCTCGTCAACACAAAGAACTGCGACCCGAACCGGAACTGGTCGTACGGCACCTCCGGGAGCATCACATCGTCGCCTCGGGCATAGTACCTATCATGAATCATGTAGGCATCGTCCATTATCTCGATGAAGCTGCGGTGGCGGCCATGAGGCCCGGCATTGTCGGAGAGGAGCGTGTTGTACAGCGTGGGGAACGGGTGGAGCGGGATGCAGGATTGCGAGAGGAGAGCGAAGAACTGGTTGGATGGGTCGTCGAGCAGGGCGGTGGCGATGAGGCGGCGGGCGGCGGAGATGAGGGTGGGGGAGGCGCGCTGCGTGGCCTTGGCCGGGACGAATCGGCCGCGGAACGAGGGCGTCGGCGGCATCGTGAGGGCGGAGAAAGGGTCGGCGTGGACGTAGAGGTTGAAGAGGTGGTGGTGGCCGCGGAAGAACTTCTCCCAGAGCGGGGAGAAGACGAGGTCGGAGTTGGTGAGGAAGAGGAAGGCGACCTTGGGGGCGGGGCGGCGGCGGAAGAAGTAGGACGCGGCGGAGGAGGGCGTGGGCGTGGCGGAGGAGGGGGAGGAGGAGGAGAGTATGGCGCGGCGGAAGAGCGCGAGGTCGTCGGACTCGTCGGCGTCCGGGATGGCCGGAAGCGTCTTGGGCGGGAGGAGGCGCGGCGCGAGGAGGAAGATGACCGGGATGGAGACGAGGAGGAGCACCGACAGCACGAACGGCGAGGCGTACGTCGTCGCCGGCGACGTCATCTCCGATCTCAGCGAACCCCCAACAAATCCGAATGAAATCTCAGCACGCGCACGCAGCAGCAGAAAATGCAAGCGAGAGGATTGGATTGGATCTCGCGGGTGGGTGATTCTTGGTGGAGGAGGACGAACAGCAACTAAATCGAAATTGAAAAAAAAAAGGATTAGATTTCCGCGAGGGTAAGAAAAAAAAGGTTGGGAGATGAGATGACAGCGATTGATAGTGACAGTCTCTCGAATCGAGGGGAAGAAACGAAAATGCTCCCAGAGAATTGGATCTAGCGATCTTGGAGGGACACCACAAAGCACGACGAAATGGGCACAAGATTTCTTCCAGGGACGCAGCCGCGCGAGCCTCTCCCAAGAACCCAAAAAAAACAAAAATCAAAAATCGGGCAAAAGAGGAAAAATGGCCAATGCCCGCCGCGCCCTACGCTCCGAGCCGATCAAATCCCGCCCAAAGCTCGCCCATCCCGGCAAGATCCGACCGCCCCACCTCACCCACCCAAGAACAGCCAAGAAAACGGACGCGCGCAGCACCCAAATTGGGGAAAATGGCGGCACGAAACCGAACCCCACCTCCTCCTCCCCGGATCCAATCCAGCCAGAAACCAAATCGAGCGAAGCAGCGCGCGCGCGAATCCCCGGAGGGCCAGGAGAGTGGGAGATTTTCGAGAGGAGGGCGAGATCTTTGGGTGGTGGGTCGCGGACGAGGAGGAGGAGGGGAGTGAGGAGAGGAGGTTAGGACGCGTGCGTGGTCTGCGTGTGTGTGTGTGTGTGTTTGTGTCTTTTTTTTTTAATATATAGTATTATATATGGCTGGCGTTTGCTCGCTGGATCTTAATTAAACCCAATTAAGGGCGCAATTAATCGGTGACGTGGCGGGCAATTAAGGGGGGTGTGAATTGGTTGCTGTTCATCTCGCCCGTCTATTTTTGGGCCATGGAGGTTGGATCGCGTCCTTTCCGTTTGAGCACGAATCTCGATGCGCCCTTGGTTCTAGAAGGCTCCTTCCGTTTCCATGGATGAAATGTTCAATTTGAGATTTTTAATATGTCTGGGATATGTATATTCAGATGGTAAATTGTTAAACCTCGCAGCTAAAGGTCAAAAATGGTTGAGGGGTGGTTTGGTTTGTGGCCTAAATAGGCCTTACCAAATTTTATCAGTGTCAAATTTTGGCAAGTTTTGTCATGACTAATTTTGGTAAGGTAAAGTTGTGTTTGGATTGAAGCCAAAATAGCCTAAGTTCACTATTGAAATGGCCTATTTTCTTAGGCATGCTAAAATTTGGCTTCAAACCAAATAGACACTAAACGCTATTAAAATTGTTAAATATTGGTAAGCCTAATTTATGCCTCAAACCAAACCAGCCCTGAATATATCTTAAATAGTTGTTTTTAGGGTTCAATTCTTGAAATTTAAAGAAATGGGACGCTTTTTGAAACGCAGAAATTTCGCCGAGCTTTTTATATTTTAGTTTAAATATTGTAAAACTGCTCCATTTCAAATTAAGGTCTAAGAGGTTTGCGAGTATGTCAACTTAATTTTACCGAGGACACCTGTCTAACGTGAACTTTTTTTTCCCTGAATATTTGTCATAGCTGTACTGATCCATATGGAAAGGGATTTAAAAAATTTTCCGTTTTACAACAAAGGTGAAACTTTAATTAAATCTTCTCTCGCAAATTTACAGATAGGGAGTACGAAAAAAACAGATGATATTGTTATCCTTTATTTATGACAGATTGGAAAAAGCATGATACCATCTATTCATGATAGCAATACCATTTATTTATGATAGTGACAACATTTGTTGACTAACAAGAGCAAAAGGAAAGAAAATACGAGGGAATGACTTGGTTATTTATAATCGTCGCCAAATTAGAGAAAAAGACAGCCATGTGAGCTAGCGGTAGTGGCAGCTAGCCACTACTAGTACTACTTCCATCCCAAAATATTTGACGCCATTGACTTTTTTTAAAATGTTTGACCGTTCGTCTTATTCAAAAAAATTTAAGTAATTGTTAATTCTTTTTCTAACATTTGATTTATTGTTAAATATATTTTTATGTATACATATAGTTTTACACATATCACAAAAGTTTTTAAATAAAACGAACAGTCAAACATGTTTAAAAAAGTCAACGGTGTCAAACATTTAGGGAAGGAGGGAGTACTTACCAAACACCGTATACACATGTGGTGTATTCTACGGCGTACAACACATGTATGACTTCGACAGATACGTAGCTACTCTCTCCGTCCCATTTTAACCGTAACCATAACTTTCCGTATCTAATTTTGATCATTTGTCTTATTTAAAATATTTTTATGATTATTATTTTTATTGTTATTAGATGATAAAACATGAATAGTACTACTTTATACTTGACTTATATTTTTTTACTTTTTAAAATAAATTAAATAAGACGTACGATTAAAGTTGGATGCATAAACTTAAAATTTATAGTTTAAAATTTATAGTTGTGCTTAAAATGGACGAAGTGAGTACTAAATAATTAATGGCCTTGCCCAGGCAAAAACCTTGTTGAGTGCAGCCTTGATGTAAATTATTTAGGAGTATTCCCGTTGTATTTAACATAAGAGTAAATTGCACCTACGGTACAACAACTTGGCAGGTGGGTGCGATATAGTGCAAAAAATTAAAAATTAAACGTTCGAATGCAACAACTTGACAAGTGGGTGTTCCAGTACAAGAACTTGACAATTTAGTATTTGGTGCATCCTCTTGGCTAAGCATATGCTAGTTGAGTTTTTTAACGATGCCAATATGCCAATACATCCTACAGATATTACCACTTATAATATTAAATTTAATCTTTAAGAATTATATTGCACATACAATTTACATCCAATTACCTTTAAGAATTTTTTGTTTGAGTAAAGTGCACCAGCGGTCCTCAAACTTGTAAGGGTGTGTCATCTAGGTCCCCAAACTCTCAAATCGCATTTACAGGTCCCTAAACTTGCTTAGCCGTACATTGCCTGTCCAAACCCCATTTGACTCGGTCTGCTCGCTGACGTGGCTTGCCAACGTGGAGGGGAGGAGACAGCCGGGGTGGTGCATTATGCATTAAGCCCCTTATTTTTTCGCCAGCCCTCAGACGATAAATCCCCCACTCTTTTTTTTCCTCGGCGCGGGAAGGACGAAATCCCCGACTCCTCGTTATCCTCGGTGTGGGAAGGGCGAAGTGGGCGACGCAAGCGAGAGGAGGTGGTGATCGCCGGTGATCGCCGACAACCAACGCCAATCGATCATAGGATTGGTAGAGAGGGTGGGGGAGTGATTCTGTCTGCACCCATCGACGGACGCGACGGCAGAGAATGGTGGCAAGATTGCGTCGACTAGGTGGAGACGCGCCTGTGTACGGTGAGTAAAATCAAGCCCTAATCCTTGTATGCTAGCAGGTTTAGATCGATAATAGGCAGTAATGTACCTTGCTGTTGGTAGAAAATTTGGAATTTGCTGGCTCGGTTCGATGCATGTTTTGCCGTACGGCAAAGCTAGGGTTTTTTGTTTGCACAAGTTTACATGCTGTATCGTGGATTGAAGGATTTGTTTCTTCCTTACTAGGTGATGGGTCAGATGAGTTCACAGTGAAGGTTCACCGTGGGGGTTTTTTCGTTGGGCATGGTAATCTCCGTTCTTATTTGAATGGCAAAGTGAGTTGGTTTGATAATGTCGAGATAGACACTTGGTCTCCACTATGGCTGGACCAGTTCGTTGAGGATCTTGGATACCTTAGGACTCCCACCTTGAAGATTTATTGGCTGTTACCTGGTAAGGACATTTCAGATGGGTTAAGAGTGGTGGTTAGTGATACTGATACAAATGTGATGGCATCAATGGTTGAAAAGTTCAGGACCTTAGTTGTATATATTGACCATGATGACAAAGTTGCAGGGATTGACTGGGATGATATCATAGACAATCCAGGTACACCTTTACCAAAGGTAATCAGCCCCAATAAGGTGAATTGTGTAGAGAAGATAATAGGTGAGAGCAGCAAACAGCAAGAGGGTAATCTTAAGGAGCAGAGTAGCAGGCAACAACAGGGAAGCAGGCAGCAACAGAGCAATCTAAAAGAGCATAACAACAGGGAGCAACAAGAAGATGATTGTGATGAAGAAGACAGTGGGACAGAGAGTGATGACAGTGATGAGGAATTCTATGATAGTGACTATGAATTAGATGATGGTGATGATGACTTGTTTGTTGATTATGTTGATGAAAATGTGATAGATGAGGGGGTGGCCAAAGGAAAGAAAATATTGAAGGGAAAGAAAGCCAGAGGAAGCAGGTTGAAGGGAAATCTTGCAATTGTGCCTAGAGGAGATGAAAGTGAAGATACTGATGAGGAAGAGCTTAATGCAGCAGATTCTGATGATGAGGGTGTCAGGCTCAAGTTCAAGTCATTTGCAGAAGAGGACTTGAACAATCCTAATTTCAAGGTTGGTCTTGTTTTCCCATCTGTTGAGAAGTTGAGACAAGCAATTACTGAGTACAGTGTAAGGAATAGGGTTGAGATCAAGATGCCTAGAAATGATAGGAGGAGGATAAGAGCTCATTGTGCAGAAGGTTGCCCATGGAATCTTTATGCTTCAGAAGACAGTAGAGCTAAAGCTTTTGTGGTGAAGACTTGTGATGAGAGACATACCTGTCAAAAAGAGTGGATTCTCAAAAGGTGCACATCCAAATGGTTGGCTGGAAAGTATATAGAAGCATTTAGGGCTGATGAGAAAATGAGCCTAACTAGTTTTGCAAAGACAGTGCAGCTGCAGTGGAACTTGACACTATCTAGGAGCAAATTAGCTAGAGCTAGAAGGATTGCAATGAAGACCATACATGGAGATGAGGTTGAGCAGTACAAGCTTTTGTGGGATTATGGCAAAGAATTGAGGAGAAGCAATCCTGGGAGTTCTTTCTTCCTGAAGCTTGATGGTAGCCTTTTCAGCCAATGCTACATGTCAATGGATGCTTGCAAGAGAGGGTTTCTGAATGGTTGCAGACCATTGATTTGTTTGGATGGTTGCCACATTAAGACAAAGTATGGTGGACAATTGCTAACTGCAGTTGGTATGGATCCAAATGACTGTATATATCCAATTGCCTTTGCTGTAGTGGAGGTTGAATCTCTGGCTACATGGAAATGGTTCTTGGAGACACTGAAAAATGATCTAGGCATCGAAAACACATATCCTTGGACTATAATGACTGATAAGCAGAAGGGGTTAATACCAGCTGTCCAACAGGTCTTCCCAGAGTCTGAACATAGGTTCTGTGTTAGGCATCTGTACTCAAACTTTCAGCTTCAGTTTAAGGGAGAAGTACTGAAGAATCAATTGTGGGCATGTGCTAGGTCATCTTCTGTCCAAGAATGGAACAAAAATATGGATGTGATGAGAAATTTGAACAAGAGTGCTTATGAATGGCTTGAAAAGTTGCCTCCAAACACATGGGTCAGAGCTTTCTTCTCAGAATTCCCTAAGTGTGATATATTACTAAATAATAATTGCGAGGTTTTTAACAAATACATTCTAGAAGCTAGAGAATTACCTATTTTGACTATGCTAGAGAAGATAAAAGGACAACTCATGACTAGGCATTTCAATAAACAAAAAGAGTTGGCTGATCAGTTCCAAGGCTTAATCTGCCCCAAAATTAGGAAGAAGGTGCTGAAAAATGCAGATGCAGCTAATACATGTTATGCATTACCAGCTGGGCAGGGAATATTTCAAGTGCATGAAAGGGAATATCAGTACAT